GCGTGGTGGCGCACGCCGGTAATCCCAGCACTCGGGAGGCTGAGGCAGGACGATCGCTGCGAGTTCGAGGCCAGCCTGGGCTACACAGTGAGCTCAAGGCCAGCCTGAACTGCGTAGCGAGACCCTGTCTCAAAAAGACAAAAGAAATTTGTCTACTTGTAAAACTCCTTGCTTGGCACTGGGTATGCTGTGGTCTTCTTGGAGTTTACAGTCCCGTAGAGGAACTAAATCGCAGTCTCACAGACAAATGCAAAGGTGCAACTTTGCCTAAGGAAGTGGGGCTGTTAGGGCGTGTGCGAAGAGGCAGGCGGTGTTCCACCACTCGTTAACTGTCCCGTGAGTTTCTGTGACTGTTGTTTTCGCACCTGTGAAATTGTTATAATTTGCCTACCCACTTAAAGAGTGAATATACATATATATATAGACACACCAACCCAGCGGTGTAGACACTGACATAAAAAATGAAGACACTGATTTACGCAGTTAATTTAAACAGCGGTATAAAATTCAGATTTAGGCCCACAATCCATTGAGAAGCCAGACAGATACTGGTACTAAAAGTAGCAGTTATATATGGAGATTTTCTTTCTCCGGTACCGGGAATCGAACTCACGACCTCACACTTGCCAGGCAGGCGCTGTACCGCTGAGCTAAATCCCCAGCCCCTTTGTCAGTTACTTTAATGCGTCTTTTTCTTCGTTTTGGTGAAAACCCAGGAACTTGCTTCTGTTAAGTGCACTTTCTGCTGCTGACCCTATACGCTAGTTGGCCTGCTATAAACCCTACATGCTAGTTGGTCATTGTTTTGTGCTTTGCAATGTGGTAGGTTGTTGGACATATTACATGGGGCTGATCCAGATTAATATGCTGGAAGTGTAAAGTGCACATTGTATTTTGAAAACATACTATGAAAAAAGGATGTAAAAATTAACAGTTTTTGTATTATGTGTTAAACTGGCAAAATTTGGGGTGTATTGCTATAAATAAAATGTAATATTAAATTTAACTTCACCTACTTTAAGCCTTTTTAACGTGGCTTCTAGAAAATTGTACATTACCTACATGACTCGCATTGGTGGTCTGCGTTGTACTGGAGCACCGCCACGGTTATTTGCTTACAGGTTGTCTGTGGCTGCTTTTGCATGACAAGGGGAGAAATGAGTAATTGTATTACGAATTTGGTGGGGGGCTGCTGGGGATACAGCTCTGTAGTGAAGCTCTTGCATAGTGGGTGTATTGTGCGGTCCCGCGATTCTATCCCCAGCGTTACCAGCTGGGAGGGGGAATCAAGTAATTGTGACAGAGATCCAGCAGCCCGCAAAGCCTGAAACTTTTACTCACAGGCCCTTTACAGAGTAATATGATGGCCCCTGACCTATTTGAAGAACAGTCTGCATTTTTGTCAGTATAGCATTCATTCAAGGTCCGTCCAGCTGGGCAAATATTTGCAGCTGCCTCCTACTCATCAGGAGCTATCCTAGTGCTGAGGCCATGTCCCCCTTCCCTACCAAAAAATAAAAATGATCTTTGTGGCCCTCAAGGAACTCACATTTTAACAGGGGAAATAAAAAGATTTCCCTTAGAGCTGGGTGCTGGTAGTGCGTATCTGTCATCCTAGCTACTTGGGAGGCTGAGGCAGGAGGAGCACCCAACATTTGAAGCCAACCTGGGCAACTTAGTGAGAACCTGAACCTGTCTCAAAACAAAAATAAGAGGCCAGGGGCCGTAGCGCAGCGGTAGAACACTTGCCTAGCATGCGTGAGCCCTGAATTCAACCCTGGTACCTTACACACAGGACACTATCTCCCCTGGCGAAGCAGCGTAGCACAGGCTGAGTTCAGTGTGCCTTTTTGGGGGGGTGGCGGGGGTTTTGACCCTAGGGCCTTGCTTCTCTTGCTGAGCAGGAAGTCTGCCACTGAGCCACACCCCAGCCTAATCTTGTACAGTTTATTTAACTTCTCTTGCCTCATCTTCAAATTCATTATTTGAGTATAATAAATGTTAGCTATTATTCAAGTATGATTAGTGCATAAAACAATAAAGCCGTAGAGAGGGAACCCCGGTTGCGACAATGGTAGTGATTAGGCAGCTCTGTCCAGAGGGAAGTGCTGCAGAGTTCTGAGGCTTGGGATTTGTACGCCCGCTCTTTCCCGCGTTGTTTCCTAGTTCCCTGCTGCAGTGTATTAGTCACGCAGGAATTCTTGTTATCCTCTGCCGTCCTCGTATCTCACACCTTTACTCCCGCTGTTCTCTCCAGGGTGTGTCTTAAACCTCTTCCTTATAAAGACCTTTCAAAGTTACCTAAGCTGAAACTAACTTTCACTTACTAGAGGAGTGTAGGTTAGAGATCAGAGTTTTTACCTGGGCTTTGCGATGTGCCTCAGGTTCCTCCTCTGTGAAAGAGACAGTGTTTACTTAACATTATTGTTGCTAGATAAAGTTACACACGTAAAGTACCGGATAGGTGCTTAGTAAGTGTTAGTAACCCTTCCTCTCTCTTGAAGCCCTAAAATACAGTCAAAAGAAAGTCTAAGGGAAAGTCGTTTAATCTGACCTCAATTTGAGGAGGCGACTGTGTTTATTTCTGTTTGTATCCTTAGCACCCAGCACAGTACCTGGCTTAGAGTAGCTTTTATTTGTTTGAATTGAGAGTTTAAGGTCACCGCTACTGAGTGACAAGAATAGGCTAGACTCCAGTTCTGCTGATGTCTAACGTTTAAGGTATTTCTTATTTAAAAGAACTCCTGGCCCAGCCCAACTGACCCGGAGGATGTTACGTAGATTTATGCCATGTTTTGAGCATGATACTGAGGTGAGCAGTGGTATCTTTTATTGAGGTTGCATTGATTTGTTTTATATTGCTTTTATATTTTATTTTTATTTTTTTGTATTATTAGCCATTATATTGGAGAAAATAAGATTTGTGATTCAGATAGTATATCCCCTGAAAGTTCAGATTTTTCTACAGTGTATTTTTATGGTGTTTTTGTAGTGAATTTGGGAAATATGTTTAATTTTTGGCTTTTTCTCTATTTTTCTCCATTAATCTAATACATGCCCCCCTCCATACTGGGGATTGAACCACATTCCCAGCCTTTTTAAATTTTGAGACAAGGTTGGGGTTGTCACCTGGGTTGGGCTTGACCTTGCGATCCTTTTGCCTCAGTCTCCCAGAGTGCTGGGATTGTAGATGTGTGTGTTGATAAAGACCTTTTGAATATATGCAACAGTATCATTAATATGTTTGGTAAATTATCACAGTAATTTAACAGAATTATCTAAAGGATAATTTATTAAATAGAGTCTCGAAGTTTTTACAAATTTGTGAAGTATAGGACTTCTAAAACTGTAAATCACCATAAAAAGTTAGGTGTCTATTGCAGTGTCTTAGCACATGGTAGAGGAAAAAGAAATTTTTTTTGAAACTATGTAGTCCAGGTCAGCCTGGACTACACTATGTAGCACTGTGTAGCACTCACTATGTAGCACAGACTGGTCTCAAACACAGCAACCCTCCTGCCTCAGCTTCCTGAGTGCTGGGATTATAGTGCCTCCTGAGTGCTGGGGCAAAAAAACAAGCATAATGACATTGTAGGGCTAAAAAGCCCTTCATAAATCATCAAGTTGATTCCACTTATCTTACAAATAAGGAAATTTAGTCCTTTTTTTTCCCCTCCAAAAAGGCTTAATTTATCAAGACTCTTAACTTGTTTTGCATACATTGCTCTAGATAACTAGAAATTTAGAAACAAGATCATCTTTTGTAAAATAATTCTTCCATGTTTTTTAGTATTGAGCAGCACTGCTGTTACTTTTTAGGTAACAAATACAACTTAATGGTAACTTAAACTCCCCATATAAACGAAGTTTTAGCACATGGTAGAGGAAAAAGAAATCATATATGTTTAAGAAGAAATTTTAAATGATGTGTATTTTTAAGAATACAAAATGACAAATTAGCGCATGACAGAATCCAAACCGTTGGTTCTTGGTTAAGCGTTTCCAGGTTTTTCGTCAGTACTCAATGCTGTGCTGACACTTATTTCTGTAGTAGGTAAGTACTGCAGTAGAATGTGAGAAAGTTTTAAAACAAATCTTTGGAAGAATAAGTCAAAATTGAACAAATGCTTTTTGGTAATTTACTTTTTTGCTGTGCAGGGCAGAGAAAGGCTCTTAGTATTGAATTCAAATTATTTTTGAGCCTAAGTGTTTTTTACTAATTTCCCCTTTATTTTCTTCTTTAAACATGTACCTCACTCTGATGAATGTTTACGATGACCTTTATTTGTATGCCTCTGTACAACACTGAATTCTGTTCAGTTGCGATAGAGGGTGGGGAAGGCTGTGGTGTCTCCCTGTTAGACTCCAGTTACTCCAGGCAAACCTTTTGGAGACTGAGCGCCCACACCGCAGCCCCAGACCCACTTACCTATCACAGGGTGCCGGCGCTGCGGTTAAAGCTGCGTGCTGACTGGCGGTGCGAAACCTGGCTGAGGCGGGGTGGCTCTGCTCCTCCTTCCCAGGCTAGCCGGCCCTCTGATGGGGGAGTGACTTGCATGCGCGCCGTGGGCTCGCCACCCCTGCTCTAGGATGTGATAGAAAATAATAAACGTGGCGGTATGTTGCAAAGAGACTCTGTTAGGCAGATTTAGTGTGGGGATCTGAAAAACATTTTTGTGGGCTGGGGAATTAGCCCAGTGGCACACTGCCTGCCTGGCAGGTACGAGGTCCTGAGTTTGAGTCCCACGGCCAAAAAAAAAGAAAACAAGAAACATTTTGTATGTACAAAAATGTATAGAGTGTTGTTTCCTTGACTGTAAAGAGTATAGTATTTACATTTTAAGTGTTTTAAGTGGAATCTCTGGTAGTTAACTTGACCGCTTGAAATGGTGATTTCTTTAAATGAAAAGGTTCTGATGGTTTGTCTTCTAATAGATGGTGTTTTAGAGTCGGGGCCGTAAGGTTATACACCAGAATAGTCTTAGCCACCGCACTTTGTTTATCCCCCTTCATCCTCATAGCATCCCCATCGTATAAGTGAGGAGAATTGAGCCGTAGTTTAAAAACGGTGGTTTTCACGGCTTTGTGTGGACGTCCCGGGAGCCTCCCGCACTCACAGGCCGGCCTTTTGGAGCTGGCTCAGGCTCGTGTGACGCTGGGTTAAGTGTGCGCGGTCCTGAAGCAGCCCACTGACGGGAGCCGGCGTGCTTCTGGGCGGCGCCACCTGGGCGCTGGTCCCTGCCCGGGACAGAGGGAGAGGCAGGCGGCTGCTGCTGCTGCTGCTGCGTGACGCTGCCGAGCTGTTGCTCCCCTGGGCGTCCCCGTCCTGCCTCGGAGCCAGCTGACTGCGGACTGAACCCCCACAGACGGGGCTGAAACGAACCTGTCCTCCTGTCCCTTTGGTGTCGGCGGTCTTGTCCCAGCAGTGAGAACAGTCGTTAAGACGGCTGCTTATTAGTGGAAGAAGACTTTAAACCTCGAGTCTAGACGCACTCTAAAAACCTGAGCACTGGCCTGGGGATGCAGCTCAGCGGGAGAGCACTTGCCGGCGTGGAGGGCTTCCGTTCCTCCTCCTGCACTCGAGTCGGTCAGGCAGTGAACAAGCAAACAAGTATTGTACATAAGTAGAGAGCAGCTGTGAACAGTGTTGTGGCAGAAGACTGAAAAGTAATACAAATTACGAGGTGATTTCGTGCTAATGTTTCTGATGGGTTTGGCCTGTCTTTGTATACAGGAGAATCAGTGTTAGAGTGAGCATTGAACTACAATCAATTTCTAATCCAGTTCACAGAAAGGTTAGTATTTCTTTCTCAAAATATGATAAGCTCTCTATGTTAATTTTATTTAAGAATGTGAGATCTTTTGTTACATCCACCTAGCTTTTTAATTTAGGACCGTTTTGGAACTGTTACAACCTAGGATGCGCTCCAGACTGAGACAACTGAAATACAATTACGTGTTTCTAAAGCACACAGGAGGAGTGGGGCGTGTGCTAACAGTCCCCTTTGGTTTGCGCAGAGCAGTTAAAAATTGCTGGGATAGGTATTACCGCTTCAAAGAACTGCCATTTCATAGTTACAGATAGGAGAACAGAATGGACTGAGGCGCCTCAGGGAGGTATTTTTTGCTTAACTTTTGAAAAGAAGCCTGTAGAGCTTCTGTCCTACATGAGCTTCAAGATTCTGAGCCCTAACCCTGAAGGGTGAGAACGGGGTGGGGGGTGGCGGAGGGGCTGAGAAATCTGGCAGCTGTTTTCCCTGCGTGCGGCTTTCTGTAAATACGCTCAAGAGCCTCGCCTTACTAGTAGGAATTTCAGATTTTTGTTTGCTTGGTTTTGCTTTGAATCGCATCTTCTGGTGAATTTCAAGATACTTAAATAAAAGTGCTTGACAGGGCGTTCTGACACATCACGTACCCAGACTACTAACCTTCTAGAGCGGAGAGTGTCTATGATACTTCCTGCGTGTTATTCCTTGTGCCTGCTGTACCTCTGCTTACAGCGTTTAAAGTTTTCTAGGAGCCCAGCAGTTCCTGAGTAGTCATGAATAGACTGTGCTTCAGACTTGCTGCCGACTTGAATGTTCAGTTCTGTGCTGCTCCCCCCTTGTGGCTTGGCCATTTTCCTTGCAGCAGTGTTCTCTAAAGTGCATAATTTTGGAGTATTTTTCTGTTAGCTTCAACTGCTGTGATAATCTGCCGCATTACACATTTAACAAACTGGAAAATGGTCTTTGTGAAACAAATCTGCTCTAGACAAGTGAGAGCAGATGGGCATCATGGTGAGGAGCCATCTGGAACAGGGGAGAAAGGCCCTTACAGGAAGCCCTAGCAACGTGTCACCTGATACTCACATTCTCCTGTGACAAAGGCTCCTTCTGTAGGGCGCATTATTGGTGACTGGGCTGTTGGTGCATTTATCTCTTTTGAAGTGCCAGCCCAACTTATTAAGGGGAACTGAATGTGTGGGTGAGTTTGGTGTGTCCAGGGGTAAGGAGTGTCCCTCATAATGCCCTAGTGCAGCAAAGGTTGGTGTAAGTTTTCCTGTGCCTCTGACAGGGTCATGTTCCTATATTTTCAACTGCTAGCATTTAATGAGCTTTTATAGCCCCTTGTAAAGCTATCGAGGAGCAGAATACCCCTATTTAAAATTCTAAGTCTTGAAAGACTAAAAGAAAACAAACCTATCTGAAGTATAACTGTGATATGTTATTATTCAATAGTTAAGATCTACTAAAAATATTTTTCAAAAAATATTTCTTTTAGGATTTAGTTATTCGTCTGACAGATGATACAGATCCATTTTTTTTGTATAACCTTGTTATATCTGAGGAAGATTTTCAAAGGTAAGTAACTTTTGTGTGGTCTTACATTTAATCTAGGAATAAGTTTCTAGTTTTACAAATGTATTGGCATTGTTCCTTTTGAAACACCTGTCGTTTGTAGGTGTAACTGTTCAGAACATTTAGTTTTTTTCTGGGAATATGGTACTGTTTGTTCTGTAGTTACTTAGATTGTGTTTGAAAATAAGTATTTCATATGTTATCAGAGTTCTTATTACAGCCCAGGAATTTGGAGCTTTAGCTAAATTTCTTGGGGTTTTTTTCTTTCATTGAATAAACTCTGAAACTGAAAGTCCTAGCTTAGTTCTTGATTATAATGGGTGGTCAGTAAATAATCTATTGGGATATTTATTATGGTTAAAGATAGTAATTAAATCTTTAAAAATTTCTTTTCTTGCCTTTTGTGTAGTTTAAAATTCCAGCAAGGTCTTCTGGTAGACTTCCTAGCTTTCCCACAAAAATTTATAGATCTCCTTCAGCAGTGTGCTCAAGAGCATACCAAAGAAATCCCAAGGTAAGTTGCATAAAAATACTACGTAATTAAACCTGTTTGAAGATAGACTCTTGGAAAGACAGGTTGGGCTGGGCGTGGTGGCGCACACCTGTAATCCCAGCACTCAGGAGGCGGAGCAGGAGGATCACTGCGAGTTTGAGGCCAACCTGAACTACATAGTGAAACCCTGTCTGTCTGTCTGTCTGTCTGTCTCTCTCTCTCTCACACACACACACACACACACACACAACAGACAAGTTGATGGCAAAACATTTTTCATGTATTGTAATTACTGCTATTTATTTTTAAGACTGGGATTAGTGATTGTTGAAATAAATTATTTCATTAGAAACTATAAAATGATACTTTTGTATTTTTTTACTTTACTTTAATTTATTTATTTTGTACTGGCATTGAACTCAGGACCTTGTGCTTGCCAGGCAGGCCCTTGTGCCGCTGAGCTATTTCGCCGGCCAATGGCTTTTTAAATAAATCTACAGTTCTTTCCATGTCTATGAGGTATAATTCTTTCAACTGTACCTCATCAGCGAGGGCTCCTTGATTCCTCTGAAAGTCCACACGGGAAAAGTTAAATGCTTAATTCTTACGATGAGCTCAGGGACTGCAGCATATTCGTTCTTTACCTTGCCTCACCCCTGCCCCTTTCGCCTCCTGCTTTACCCCAGGAGGCCTTTCACACCAGTCGTGGTGATTTCCATGTATTCCCTTTGCTTGTCTTTGTAAGTAGAGAAGCTTGTGATCTGGTGGGAGAATTTCGCTGTCTCCCAAGTGTGCGGTAACGCGACCTCTTCTTTTCAAAGGTTTTTGCTGCAGTTAGTTTCTCCAGCGGCTGTTCTGGATAACTCACCCGCATTTTTAAATGTGGTGGAGACAAACCCTTTTAAGCATCTTATACATCTCTCACTAAAACTTTTACCTGGAAATGATGTGGAGATAAAGAAATTTCTAGCAGGCTGTTTGAAATGTACCAAGGTAAGATTTAGATTTAAGTCATTCTTTTAAACTAGGTATCAAAGTACTTCGATAAATTACTGAGGAACTATATGGCCATTATTTCTTGTTTTCTGGTTAAAGTGTTATAGCATATAATGAACTTAATGTTTTTTCATTTAGTTGAGGTACAAGTATAGAAATGGATGTGGCATTGAGAACTCAGGCTTCGCCAACTTTCTGTCACCTCAGGCAGGCCACCTAACCTCTTGTGTCGTGATTTCGTGAGCTGGCGTACGTGTGCGGGAAGTGTCCGCCCTGACTAGCTCATCGTTAGAGTCAGTGTGTAAAAGTGTCTTGAATGTTGCATACTGCTGTAGAAAGTCTGTGGTACAGCATTGTGTTGCCGCTTGAAAGATTTTAGAAAAATTTTCAGTTAAATGCTACAAATCGGTGCGTCTCTAGTACTGATGCTACACAGATCCTGGGGATCTTGCTGAGACGTGGATTCTGACGTGGAAAGTCTGAGACTTGTCATGTCTAAGCCCTTAGGAGGATAGTGGTGCTGTATTTTGCTATACTTTGAATAATATGGCTACAGGTGGTTGGATTGTAAATTGTGTAATTTTTTATTTTTATAACTAGGAAGAAAAATTATTATTGACACAATCGCTAGATGATGTTACCAGACAGCTGAACCTTACGAAAAAGGTAATTCATATTTTATCTTCTGGAGTCATGCAGGCGCTGGCTCTGAATTGGTTACTGAAGTAAGCCCAAGCTTTTGTGTGTTTCTTTCAAAGTGTGCCATCATTAAGTTCCCCCCTTTCTGCCACTTTCTCTGCCAGTTCATTGCCTTAATCCGATGCTTTCTCTTTTCATGTTTAATTCCACCCACACAGTTCTTTCCTGTCCAGTACCTGACGCATTTTCTAAGTCTTCCTCAGGACAGTGTTTAGCATCTGTATGTTAGTTCCCTTCTCCTGTGCTACTAGCCTCATTTCTCTGGTTTAAAATAGCTTTTTTAGTACCTGTCTTCTAAAACATTCCCTTCTGTGGTGATGGAAATTAATTTCTCACATGAGCTTAGTGTTGTTTTATTTGTAGCTACTTCATTTTGGGTGAGGGCCAAAGTGTCTGATGAGCCAGATGGCTTTGGACAAAAAATGCTCCTACGCAGTGTGACCTCCTTGGACCATACTGTTGTGTTCCATAAACAAGAAGTAAGCAGCTCTTCAAACTGACTTGCTGCCGGGGATGCAGCTCAGCGGCCCGGGTGCCTGCCTGGCAGGCACAAGGTCCTGAGTTCGATTCCCAGTACCAGGAAAACCTGACTTGCGCCACCTGAGTTACCTAACTTTTAACGCCAGAGGGAAGGATTTGGTGACAAAGAGATCTTTAAAATTAGCAGCTTAAAGATAGTTAGACTTGGCCTGTGAGCCATCTTATCTGTAATATTGCTTTTATTCTAACCATTTTGCAAATTGAGAAACATCTGTGTAGGCTTTGTATATGTTTGAAAAGCTGAAATTTTATTTTCCTTAGTATTGTCTTACAAGTATCTCTGTGTACTAATTAGAAATGTAATCGCATCCAGAGACTATTTTAATGGTTTTTTCCAAATTCTAATATAGACGTTATCGGAAAAAGTTCAAGAATTAGATAAGCTCCGGAATGAATGGGCATCACACACGGCCTCACTGACAAGTAAGCATTCTCAGGAACTGACAAATGAGAGGGAAAAGGCATTACAGGTGAGCTCATATAAGGTAACTGAAAAAACTTATTGCTGCTGGTCACTTTGTTAATTACTGTTACGGTTCGTGTCTAGATGCCCCCCAAAGCCTCATGCAGTCTTGGGTTTTTTCGGAGGTGGCTGAATCTCGAGCCTGTGATTGATTCACAGTGCAGTGCTGGGATTAAGAGTGAGTGCTACACCGCCCTAGGGCGGCAGCCTGCACACAGTGTAAGGGGCAGGAAGAGGCTGCTCCGTCTCCCTCTCTCTCTCTCTCTCTTGCTCTTGCTGTCGTCCGTACCATGAAGGCTTGCCCCTCTGCCTTGAGCCACGTTACGGACTGAAACCTCTATAAGCTGTGAGCTAAATTATAAAAGGAATAATGCTTGCTTTAAAATTTTCAAACATAGAAGTATATAAAAGTTGAAAGTTTATCTTACAGAGTAAGAAGCAGTCTTGGAAGTTTTTTTTGTTTTGTTTTATTTTGTTGTTTGTTGGGTTGGTTGGTTTTGTCAGGCGAAGTTGCCCTATATAGTTTAGGCTGGTCCTTTCTTCTTTGTTTTTCTTTTCTTTCCTCGTCTTTTTGGGATAGGGTCTTGCTATGCAGTTCAGGCTGGCCTTGAGTGCACTTTTAGCCCAGGCTGGTCTCGAACTTGCCACGATCCTCCTGTCTCAGCCTCCAGAGCGCTGGAATTACAGGCATGCACTAGGCTGGTCTTGAAACTCTTGAACTCACTATGTAGTACAGGCTACCCTTCAGTGAATAGCAGTCCTCCTGCCTCAGCTTCCCTAGTGCTGGGACTACAAGCATGAGCCTCCCAGGCTGGAAGTCCTCTTACGTCTTTACAGAGAGTGATAAAAATGTGAACGCTGCTGTCGGGTGCCGTGCAGTGGAAGGGCAGACTCGTAAACACATCACACTGTGTCCTCGTTCGTGGTGGGGCTTGCGGCCCTCCCCCAAAGGCAAAATGAACATGGAAAGGTAAACACTGCCAACTACGGACAGCAAAGCAACCTCAGCAGCACAGCTAAAGACACAGAGACTTCCAGAACTGCCTCAGAAAACGGCAAGAACGAAGCAAGAAGTGTGTTGGAGTTTTAGGGGGGATGTTTACGAGGATTAATGGCAAGGTGTCTTACTGTAATACATTTTAAGCGTTCAGCACAGTTTTTACTCATACTGCATTTGTACACGCATAGTGCGCGTGTGGTTTGGTCTGTACCGTGGGGCCTTACTGGTATTACTGGTTATAACTCTTTCACTTAACGTCTTTCAGTTCAGATATTCCTCTTTAGTAGTTGTGTAGTACACAGTGTTTGGATGTAAATTATTTAAGTACTCTCCAAACTGATAGACATTTACATTGTTTGAAAAGGTAGTATTGTTTTATTTATTTATTATTGGAACAGAATTTCACGATGTAACTCAGGCTGGCCTCAAAGTCACAGCGATTTTCCTGCCTCAGCCTCCCAAGTGCTGGGATTACAGATGTGTGCCACTGTGTCTGGCTTTTTTATAGATTCTAAATGCAGATAAAATCTCTTATAGAGACTCTGACCATTTTAATTTTTTTTTTTGTAGGTTACACTCTTGCTGTAGTGTGGGTTTTCTTGCCTTCTAGAGTATAGTTTTTCATATTTTATTCAAATATTATTTAAAATTATTTATTAATATATTAAATGTTTACTCTTAAGACTGTAGCAGAATTTTTATTTTTAAACTGGAGATTGATCCCAGGGACTTAGTACTGAGCTATACCCTCAGCCCTTTTATTATTTTTTATTTGGAATCAGGGTATTACTGAGTTACCCAGGCTGGGCTTGGACTTGCAGTCCTTCTGCCTCAGCCTCTCAGTGTGGATTACAGGTGCGCACCACTCCCTGGCTGGGTGATTAATTTTTTGGTTTGTTTTTTTGACATGGTCTCACTATGCAGTTCAGGCTGGCCTTAAACTTACTATGTAGCCCAGGCTGGCCTCAGAACTCACGGCGATCCTCCTGCCTCTGTCCCTGAGGGCTGGGATCACATGTGCACCACCACTCCCAGCATGGGTGATTTTTATGTGTAACTTTTCTTTCAGATTAAGAGTTAGAAAAGCTAGGCATGCTGGTGCATGCCTTTAATACCTTTATAAGTTATTTTGTGTATAACTCCAAAGTGACTGAAAGATTTGTTTATACTTCCTATTGCCTTTTTTTAGTAAGATTATCAAGCAGTTCTTGTGGAACTTAAAAACCAGATGGACACTTCTTTTCCTGCTGATATTCTATAGGCGATATTCCATAGGGTAACGGCTCTAAAACTTCAAAGAGGATCACCTGGAGAGCTTATTATAATATAAATTGCTGGGCTCAGAATCTCCAATACAGTAGCTCTGAGGTAAAGTCCGGGAACTTGATTTCCTAACAGTGTGACAGTTGCTACTGATACTTCCGGTCTAAGGACCGTGCTGTACTTGCCAGAGGGCACTGTTTTCTAGTTTTATGACTGTCATTGTCCGCTGATACAGAGAAACTCCTTCTCCCGTTTCTGGTGATGTCCATGAATGTCATGGAGAATACAGTAACACCGTGTTATGTGTATTTGGTCGGTCTTCTCTCCTCCCCTCCCCTCCCCTCCCCTCTCCTCTCCTCTTCCTTCCAGTGGATATTAAACCCATGGCATTATATTTAGCTTGGGGCATTGGAAAAGTTAGGGCAACTTTGATTGCTTCGCGCTTTGTTTTTATGTTTCTAATTATTGCTCATATTTATACGTGTTATACTTTGTTTCTAATTGTTTCATGACGTTTATACTGATGGTTCATGCTTTCATCACCTGACTTCTCTTTGAAGGCAGCATGCCGTCCGCGCAGCTGATCTGAAGGTGACAGTGTGCGGTGGAACTACCGCGGTGCACGCCTACCATCTTGTCTCGTGGAACTCTGTATTAGCTCTCATGTTTTATCTAATAATTACTTTCTTATTCTCTTTCATGGTTTGAACAACCTTCCATTCTTACATCTGGTAATCTGAGCAGTGTAGGTGAGGAGAGCGATGTGCAATGTAACAACCACTGCTGATTCGTATTATTTTGTCTTGAGACTCTGTATCGCTTGGAATGTTCTTGCTTTGGTGTGTTTATGTGTGTGATGCTGGTATGCTGCTGTTGTTCTTTTTTTGTTTTGTTCTGTTTGTTTGTTTCTCATGTACTACTCTCTTTAAAATAAAATTTTAAAAAAAAGCAATATACCATTTGGTAGGCTGAGGAAGGAGGATCACTGTAAGCTCAAAGCCAG